ACTTATTGCCAATGCCAAGCCTCAAAAGATAAGTCAATGATCAGGTGTGTCTCTCGGTCGCTACATATTCGCCCTCGATATAAACCAGGAGGGTGGCTTTGACGATTTATAAATTTATGTACTACAGTAAACGTGAGAATTGCATGAACTTCTTAGAGAATGAATTTAAAGATCACAGGTCCTATCTAGGTTGTTTCTTATCAGGGCACCGCTTTTTCGTGGCGCAAAGTTTCTTTTTTTTTCAAAGCTGTCCCATCAGCAGGAAGCAAAATAGAAAGACAGTCTTTAAATAAAATCACGAACGACAGTTATTTGGTCTTTTCAAACATCATTTGTGCATAAAGCAAAAGGGTGAACTAAACAAACATCTTTTTAAAGGCAAATCCCTGGTGTAATAAATATTATATCACTATTTTTTTTTCAGACGGTTAAAAATGAACTAAAAAGTGCCAATAGACACCTAAAAATTCTCACTTGTTTTGAAGGTCACATAAATAATTGAATAAAAACCGTTACAACAGGAGCTAACACAGGCCATAGTTGGAATGGAAAACAAAATGCCGTTGAGACATTTTTCGCGTCTGTATATTTTTCAACATAAGAACACATTCCCTGGTCGCTTGCCTCTGTCGTCCTCCTCGGGCTGAGGCCGACTCATCGTTTTTCCTCTTTGGTCAGTCTGGACCCCCACCCTCTTCAGACCTGACTTGTTAATCACGACCTCGCCTGCCGGCTTACATATCGATATGCTTTCTGACTAACAACAATAAATGGGCATTGTAATGCAAAGATGAAATTGGTTTAACAAAAAATATTTTTAAAATGCTTATGAGTTACGGTCTATCTAATCGTAATCAATCATTGTCGGCCCTAATAAAAGAAGTGCACTATCCACACACAGAACTGATGTCCCGTCCGATAGGGGGGGTAAAATTAGAAGGGCGGACGCGTTGGTTTTTGGCTGTAGTCGAACATTTCTAGCAGTACTGTCCAGAGGAACTTGGTGGAGAACTGGCAGCTTCGGTGGACGCACGGGCTGCCAGGCTGAGACTGATCCAAACATGACTGTTCAATTCCACGGTCTTGGAACAGAAAAAACATTTGAAGAGAGGGTTGGGAACAAGCAAAATGCTAACTTCCCTTTCTCTCAGTGGTATAGTAATTAAGTAATAATTAATAATAATAATATTAATACAGAAAAAAAGATCAAATGTTTGAACCCATCCTGTTTCCCCTGTAGTGATTTCACATCCCTTTTTTTTTCCACTGTATCCCTCGGCCCTGCATTCATGTCGCCTGCATGCCAGGCAATTTCCTTGGTGTGGTTATATCATCGTTCACAGACCACACACACTTAGCGTATATAGTTATATAGAGAGATTTGTTTTTGTTTTTCTAATGTTTTTTTTTTATTCCACACACAAAAGTGAAAAAAATAAAAATAAATTAGGTCAAACGATGCACGCACACAAAAAGAGCTGATGGTGTTTAGTAAATGCTTACATTGCCTGCCCCGGGTGGTAAAACAGGGTTCCTTAATTCTGTGTGTCTGCGCTTCATATTTTTTAATTTGGCATAATTGAAATTGAATATTATTGTTGTCTCTTGTAAATCATAAATGAAACATTTTCTTGGGCATTTCATTTTCTCACGCTTTTTGTTGGTTTTTTGTTGTCATCTGAAAGTTTCTCTAAACATGAGTAAATTGAGGCACTTTCATTTTGTTTTGGGTTCAAAGTAGCACAGGGTTTCTGCTTCAGTTCTACAGTCACTGGTGGTTTCTTTTTTTTTTTTTTTTTCAAATGGCGTCAACGGTTTCTTGCTTTTTCCAGGTTGGGAAGTATCAGTGTGTACGGAAGCAGTCAAAACTCTCGCCATTGTCCTTTTCAGCATCAGGCTCCGCCACGATCATCATTCTGGAGTCAGTGTGATATCCTCCCTCCTCTTCCTCTTCCTCCTCCTCTTCTTCCTCCTCCTCCTCCTCAGCAGGTGCCTCCTCCTCTGGCGACAGGTCATCTTCAGCCTCTCCGGACGTTCCTGTGGTGTCGTCCTGAGCTGCCGGCAGACCAATTGGGGGTGCGGGGTTGTGGCCAGATCGAGCTGCATCTTGGTGCATCTTCTTGCTGAGGTCCAGTGAGTCGCTGAGACCCAGACCAGCTGCGTTCTTCAGGAAGAACAGGGAGCTGCTGGTGTCGGTGCTCAGGTTGAGGGAGCTGTCCAGGCTGAGGGAGGACGGTGGATACGGGTGGTTATACTCAGACACAATGGCGCCAGTTGGGTAGAGCATGGAGCGAGCACTGCTGTTAATGGCGTGGGACAACCCGTGGAGGCCACCAGGTGAGGAAGTAGGAAGACCCATAGAGACTGGAGGGACCACAGACACGCTTCCTCCCAGGTGGTGCGCCGCCTCCTGTTTGGGCGACACAGACGGCAGCTCACCCCGCTCCTGCTTCTCGTGCTTTCTCTTGTGGGAGTCCATCTGGGACATGCCCACCACCGTGTGCTTGCATTCAGGGAAGGTGCAGTGGAAGTGTGAGCACTTGAGCTTATATTTGCAGTCGGGAACCTCACAATCAACACTAGAGCTGAACTGGCAGAAGCCGGCAGCGCTGATCACATCTTGCTTGCCGTGGTGCTTGCGGTGGGCCGTCACCTTGGTGCTGTCAGTGCAGCGGAAGCCGCAGCGCAGACAGTGGAAGTGGGTGCTGTTGCCTGAAAACTGGCAGTCAGGGAAGTTGCAGCTGAGTGAGGATTTGAAGCGCTTGAAGTCGTCCAGGACCAGGTTGTCCACTCGGTCGTGGTGCTGTGCATGCTTGTACATGTGGGTGCGGCCGCAGAACTTGTAGCCACAGTTCTCACGCGTGCAGTGGTAGTGGGTCACCTTGAGAGAAAACTGGCAGCCGGAGTCCTTGCAGTTCTCGTAGAGGTCATAGCGCCGGAAGCCCTCCAGCATCATCCCCTCATCCAGCATCTTACGTGACGATGCGGTCTTGCGGCGCTTGCCGAAAGGCGACATGTCCTCGATGATCCAGAAGCGCTTCTTTGAACCAGTAGCCGTGGGAATGGAGATGGTGTTGCCTGAAAGAAAGGAAGGAAGCACATTAAAGAATGATCAGTTGATTCACAAAGTAAAACCCACAAACTACAAGCAAATTACATTGCGAGACCGCCCTACTTAAAACTCTAATGTGCAACCTTACTCAGCCAGAAGTGGTTCACAGCTGAGTAAGCACAGAGAGCCACACAGTTTTTTTTATTCCTAATTCCCAGAATGATTAAAGGAGGGGGAAAATGATAGATTGACTTTGGAACATGACACTTTTACAGGGTGTCTCCAGCGTCCAAACAGAGGCGGAGCTGTGGGTCTTAACCGACCCTCTTATCTCCATGTTGTTTTATGAGGGGCACCCACCTTTTGAAACACCCTGGGGTCACTGCTAATGATGTGATCCCTGTTCTGCAAGACAGGAAGCAGTGGGCCTCGATAAAACTTGAGGCGTGATTAAAATAAGAGGCTGCTGATGCAGCCTTGTTAATGGAAGCTAAACAAGGCCCAGGCTTCAGACTACAGGTGCCAAATTTACTCCTCTGTCTCTAAATTCTAGTAATACTAAAAGTGAAAACACGGAAATTTGTAAGAGAAGTAATTATACACATTTGTTCTGTATCCAGTCAGAAAGCATGCACATTTCATCAGTTATAAACAAATGTTGCATGCTGGAAAGCCCCTTTTATTTTCTTGTCTTTCTAAAACAATTCTGCAGAGAAAGGTTGGATCACACAGTTAAATGCTGCACAGGACTCAATTGACAGCTGCAGTGTTGGTTTGCGCCGGGGATAAGTACCTGCAGCATCCTGAACTATAGGGACGTCATTTTTAACCGGAGACGGAGTGGCAATGATGGGGCTGAAAGCTGGTGTGTTGGTTGGCATGACAACACTCCGAGTGGCTCCCAGAGAGGCGCTGAGCAGAGAGTATGACAGACAGGATGGAGAAAGGAGGTATGGGAGTGAGGGGAGAGGAGGTCGGAGGAGAGCAGGAGAGAGGGATGGGGCCTGGGACTGGAGGCCAGGCTGAGGAGCAGAGTGAGGAAGGGGTGGTGGTGGAGGAGGAGGAGGGGGAAGAAGGAGGTGATTTGCGCTGATGTCAAGCAGGGGTGGTTAGACAGAAGTGGGTGGGCGGGATACTTGTCCTGGAGAGACAGGTTGACAGAGAGGTGAGACAGACAAGAGGGGAAGAGAACACAGACGGTGCAAGTAGGGACAGACACAAGCACACACACACGCACAGAGAGGATGGGGAGAGAGGTAAAAAAGGGAGAGGAGATAAAAGATAAGAGAATGTACAAAATGGAGGCCCCTCAAGACAAGATAACCCAAACACGGCGAGCACAAAACAACTAATGATGAGTGTGGATAATCAAGTTGGCGAACACATGGGAAATGTGTGGAGAAATCAGGCAGGCAGGCTCACGAATTTTTTTAGAAAAAAAGCCAGGAGGAGAACCCATCTATTCAGGTAAGTTTGAGGGAAACGAGGCTGTTCTGCCTTCCGCTGTCCTTTTCTCCCACAATTCAACCCACTAAAAAGTGCTAAAGGTAGACATAAAGCCACAGGGATTGATCTTCTGTCCATTTTGTACATCAGTAGTTTGAGTTATTGCACTGTATGTAGAGCTTATTACATTTTCCTCTGGCCAAACTACTGATGTACAAAATGGATGTTTTATGAGGATGACCAGGCAAACTGCAAAAGATCTTGTCCACGACTCAGAACATAAGAATACAGCATTGTCATCAACCTCATATAATATGACTGATGTGTCATTATGCTACTGATTGTGAGTCAAACTGCTGAATCATGAAACACATGATTGAAGAATGTATGAAATGACAAGTTGCTGTTTTCCTGGGTAAGGTAAATGAAGTGACGCATGATGTATGATACTGATAGTGTAATAGTAGAAAACCTGAATAAACTATATTAAATCTCTATATACTGACACTGACACCTGTCAGGTCTTTTTTTTAAACATGTTCTCACCTGCTGGAGAGCCATCGTTGCCTACAGGTGTGCTGGTGCAGCTCCGGTCCTGGTTGGAGGACTCGGAGGAGAGGCCCAATGGGCTGCCCCCTCCTCCCATGTAGTCCATGTACTCATCAGTCTCATCCATGATGTTGGAGGAGAAGCTGGAGTTCATACCAGGCTGGTTCGCTACAGACCCGGACATCATACCGGATGCATGCTGCATCTCATCTCCCCTCTGACTCAGCGGCATCACCTAGGGAACAAATAAACTTCATTGTACTGGGACATTTGAAACAAACATATACTGTGTAATTAATTCAGTTATTAATTCAGGTGTTGGCTCTTGGAGTACGACCAAGAATTTCTTCTAAAGTATTCTGAAAGTATGAACCCTTCACTTCTGTCCTTATATGAAGGCTCCAAAACGAAAAAAAACAAACAAACAAAAAAAGAGAAATTCCACGTTTAAATTTATGTACGGTACAGGACGTACCATAGAGGTGAAGTTGGGAAATAGAGTACATTCCAGTGTAAAAAATTCATCAAAAGAATGTCATGAGTGATTTGTCTTTGACTGGTATGACAGGATATGAGCAGTACTGTCTTTTTTACAGAACACCGAATGAACTTGTTACTCTTTTCCCTGAATCTGACTCACAGAGCAGGAAACACGGTTTTAAAAAAACAACTAAAAGCAGGTACATAAGTCACAGAGACTTTGGATACTAACAAACAATAGATACCTCATTATTTCTGAGGTGAAAGAAAAGTGGTGAAATCACGTCAGATTTCTTTAACCAATAACATAAAAATCTGAAAATGAAAGTGAAAATCGGTTCTAGAAAACACCTTCTGCAGTGCAACACTTCAGTTTAGTAGCTAATTTACATTCGTTTCTCCTCATTTATCCTTATCTATAACCAGAAGTTTTTTCATCATCTTCTTGCAGTGGAAACTGTAACAACTGTATGTATTTGAGGGAACGTAAAATGTTGGTGAAAATCCATTTAAATGTATCTGTTCCTTTTAAAACAACTTGGTATTTTTTGGGGGAAAACTAAATCAGTGAATAAGAGGAAACTAGATGTCATAATCGAACATATAAACTGGATAAATACGTAATTTCTCTGTAAAAGGGTGTGTGAGTAGTTGGCTTTGTTGGAATATGTTTCAATAATCTATTCAATACCTGTTTTAGTTGACGGAGGTGTTCTGCGTGTATTTTCAGATAATTACCTTTTCAGAATGGCATGTGTCACATGTCACAGTTTTTGTGTGTGTGTGTGTGTGTGTGTGTGTGTTTACCTGGGATGGGACTCTGTCAAAGTTCTTGCCCAGCATCCGCCTCATGTGTTTGCGTGCGTGTGAGGTCATCTGGTGCTTGAGCAGGAAGGAGAACTGGCAACCCTCGCGGATGCAGTGGAAGTGGCTGTTGACTTGGTTATACTTACAACCTGCACAAAGAAACCAATAACAGTTGTAAACTCTCCATTTGCAGATTAATTTATCTTTGGCTCATTGAGAAGCGTCTGAGAGCAGCTACTGCGCACTAAACGCAATATCATCAGTGAAACGGTGTTATGATTAGATCAAACACAAAGTGAAATATTTTTAGGTTTTTTTAATTTCATGATATAGCTCTGACAAAAGAGGGATTGGGTTTCAAAGTGTTTCAGAGTGTACATGTAGGAGGAATATTAGATCACTCCAGTGTCACACTGAGCAAGTCAAGGCTTCTGTGCACTAAACCTGTGGAGCTCTTTTATTACACTGACATGCTTTATTCAATTAGGAATTTACATAAATAAATTCTCATTTTCTGTGGGCCAATAATGCACACACCCCTGCAAACCAAAGTAAATATACAATTATTACCATATTAAATTCATTTTTCAAAGTATCTCCATTGTCATTTTTCCTTTTGTTCTCCATTGTACTGCTGTCTGCTTCATATTCTTCTGTTCTTTTCCCGTGTTTTAACCGGTCTAGCTCTAATTGCTTTATGATTTCAAATTAAATGAATGTTCCGTTTTGTGTCTGTTAATCAAATAGCATTATATAAAAGCAGGCAGAAATAATTGAAAGAGTAACATGCTGGGCAGGTGCTAGCATGTCAGTAACCATGGCACCCGGTTTAAGAGCACAACACGTCTGTGTCATCAAATAGCTTTTGCACACACAATGTTTTAAACACGCAAAGTTGAGCAAATAACAGTAACCCGCGTGACATGGAGGGCCTTTTGTGAGACAGAAACCAGGTAACATCATCAGCGGTGTTCAGTTTAATGTTGCTGCCATGGATACTGGCAACCCATCAATTCTTTATGACTGGAGCGCTAGCGATGGTAATCCTTTCTGTTTTTCCCCAGCCTAAACAATACAGTTAGCAGATCAGGCTGGGGACAAAAAACAGCTGTTTAGGGCCTGTTTTTGTTTGCTTTGTTTCTGTGTTCTGAAAAGCTTGTGTAACCGCCTGAAAAAAACAGATCACTTTTAATTCATTTCTGTGTGATGGCAGCGGTGGCTGTGAGGCGCAGCTTCAGAACACAAACAGGCTAAACCAGACAAGCCGGATAATTAACAAACACAAACCTAATTGCTCATTTCTGACAGGGGCAAAAGGAAGAAGAAAACAACCTGGATGTGATTGCCCCCTTTGACGTTATTGCTCATATAGTACAGGCAAGACTACCTTTGGGACTTGAGGTGCCATTGTGAATATGCAAAACACAGCAACAAAACCTATGAGGCAGACTTGTTTCATGCCTCTTAAACAACTCACATAGCACGACACTGTGTTTGCCAACACTGGTCTCTCTCCCTTTGTAAACACAGAGAGTATCCTCTTGCAACAGCCACTGAAAATCAATCTACATCTTTCTCAATTTAACACCTTTAATCCACACATCTCTCCTGGTAAGATACTATAAGCTGGGGTGTTTAGGCTGACATGGAGGGCTTCTGGTATGGTGTGAGGGAACAAGAGACAAAGACAAAAAGGTAAGAAGAGATACAGCGGGCCAAAACTTATACAGAAAAGTATTTTTCTCTTACCAAGCCTCCCACATTCCTCCCTCTTGGTGAAATATTTGAATCCATTGGCAGCACGGCGCTCCGCCTTCTCGTGCTTCTTGACATGCCACGGCAGCTTGGTGGTGATGTTAGTGACAAAGTAGCAGCCAGGCCGCAGACAGTGATAGTGGCCTCTCATTCTGAACTCGCAGTGCTGCAGAAGGAACACATTATTTACAATTTCATGAGTAAAATATGGTGAATGTTTGAAAGCCATTGTGTGCAAAGTTAAAGCAAACTCTACACACAGATTCTCCAAAAACATAATCAACACCTCACTGTTCTTTCCTTTCTGGTCATTTGGAACATCCCACATTTCTAAGTATGATGACTTTTTTTTCCAGGCTTCCCACAAACACCCCTCCTTCCTAACATGTCTGTACACCACCATCTGTTTGTGAGGCTCAGATCCCAAAGGACTGGGCCAAATAAGATCTGCTCAGTTCAGGAGATGGAGACTAAGGGGAGGAGGGGAGGAGGAGGATGAGACGGAGGAGGAGGGAGGGGGGGACTTTTTGTGAGTGGGGTGATTTTCGACACATTAATGAATTCATTTAAACGGTTTTCCAAATACGGGCTCGTGAGAGCAGGCAAGGGCTGCCATTTAGGTTTCATTTGCGAAGCATTCCCCTGATTTTTGCCCTATTCCAGACAGCCTTGTTTACTGTGCAAGTGACAATGATTTATTGGGTAATATCAGCTAAATTGGCCTTTTCTGAGAGGAGAATGCGGCAGTCAAAATGACATCATTGACATATAAACAGGCATTACTGGGGTGAGTCGACTGTCTTTTTCAGCAGAGATGGAAGACGGGAAGCAGCGGTTGTGAAAGCCTTGAGTCAAATAACCTCAAACACTGGTCTAATAGATAGCATACTTCATGCTTAGAAAACTCTGGGAGATGACAGTAGGTGATTCAGCTCCTGGCTGAGTTATCAAGGCACACACTCACCTGGTTGGGACATAGACACTGGAGAGAGTAGTAGGAAAACTGGTCACGGACGTTGACCAGGTTATTGTTTGGGTTGATGTGGTCCAAACAGTGGGACTCAGCCTTGCCAGACGTCTTGCACACATACTTGCAATTCCCAAACAAGCAGTGGAAATGGAACTTGTTTGAGTATTTACAGTCAGTAGCCAAACAGGGATCACTGGATGAATACAAATGGAAAATACAGTTTAATCAACACTTGGCTCAAACGAGTAAAAATAAACACATTTTAATTTAATGTAATATGACACTTATAAAGTTTCTCCTACTTTTCTTGGAACTGCAGGAAACCAGGTTTGACTTGTGGCTTAGCATTCTCCAGAGAGGTGGTGGCCAAAGGGGAGTTGGCTGGCAGGTTGGGCATCGAGGCCGGCATCTGAGGGATGCTGCCAGTCAGTTGCTTCCAGGCCAGCAGGGAGGGAGGAGGAGAGCTGTATCCACCAGAGGAGGTGAGGTGTGCCACATCCATGGAAGGATTGTTGGCCATAGAGACGGGTGCAGCAGGGTGCAGCGGGGCTCCCTCACCCGAGTCTTTGCCCTCACCGAACTGAGGCTCCGACTTCACTTTCAAGGTGGCTCGGAGGTGGAAGCTGAAAAACAAGATGGAAGCTCATTTTTATGTTGATCAATAAAGCCGAAAGCTAAAATGTGAAAAGGGCATATTTTCTGATTATGAACTAGTGTGACACTCACTTAGCATGTTTTATGGCCCCATCTACGGTGCTGAAGAGTGCTCCACAGTCCTCTACCAAGCAATGAAAGTGCACCTTCTGAAGGAAGTCACACTGAGCCTCACAGAAGTCATCCGTGTCAAACCTTAACATAGACAGGTAACGAAGACTGTAATTTACTGGCTTCTCAAGTAACAAGAAATGCTAAAAAGGAAAACTGGTTGAACTTGTTATTAACAGTAAAAAGTCACAATTTCCTGCAAGACTGGATTCTAAATGTTTCAGGGGGTTCCCAGTGATACGGTATGTGAGGAATAGTATTTACAGAAAAAGGCCTTCTTTGTACAGTTCATTTTAAACATTCTGACTGTTTTCTCACTATCAAAATGAATGACTCAAGCCTAAGTGAATCAAACTACAGTGACTCTGCACTTCCTGCATGTTTTATACCTGCGGAGATATGTCCTCCAGATCTCAGTGGGTTTTTCTGGCATGGGTCTCTTCAGGACTCTGTTCAGATACTGCGCCGTCTCCGAGGTGTTGCCGCCCTGGCCTGCCTCCAGCTCTGTCTTCAGGTTCATGGCGTTGAACAGGGCAGGGTTCACCTGTGACATCTACAAAACACACAGCACATAAACAACCAGCTGCTTGGTTAGCTGAGCATACGTAAGTGGGGCACTTGCATATGTTAGTGAGAGTGTGAGAGTTAACACACACACACGCACACGCAAATGTTTTGGCGAAGCATAATAGCACAGCCAGATTTACAAACATCCAGGCTTTTGCTTGAGTGCAGGCCAAACGTGTTTGCCAAGCGTCCTCTGGGACTAACTGTTAACCCTTTTATGTGATGTGGTGGCTTGAAACAAACCCCGAAAAGCTGACATGACACGAGGAGCTGTTGGACAACAGGTCTTCAAGCTCCTCCACTGTCTGGGTTTAATAAAGCTTTGAGGAGAGAAACTCTGAAGTTAAGCTCTCCTGGGGAGAGGCTAAATAAGACGACATGTTTGTGGATGGAGGGAGGGGGTTTTGACCAGTTGGCGAGGGTAAAAAAAAAATGGAAGCTGATTTGTCAGTACACCATCAGTGTGATGGAAACCACCTAGCACATTTATATCAATCAGATAAGATGTATGATAAAGACAATGTCCATTTTAATCTTCGCAAAAAAACTTAAATTTCCATACGCTAACATTTAGAGTTGGTAAAAAATGAGGGCAGCGCCTGCCTGCTTTTTTTCTCCTCTGACTTTTTAATCAAATAATTTACAAACTATATAAATAAATGTAGAGCGAGGCGGGGAAAGAAAAAGTATAAAGGAGGAGAAAAAATGGACGGTGAGTTCAAAACAGCTCATCAAAAAACAACTCTATATATCTGGCATGGAACCCAGCTACTGCTTCATTATATTAATTTGTGAGAGGTGCAGTGAAAATTACACTGTATGAAAAATGGCTGGAAAATTTAAATGATACAAACTCATCTTATTAGCGGTGAAACATTAAAAAACAAACAGGCCCCTCCGTGTCCCGCTAATTTGTCTTTGGATGAAAGGCGTTTGATGGATGGATCTTACCTTATTCATAAGCGAGGATAAAAGAGATGTATTCCCTGGTACAGGGTGTCCGTTTGATTCATTACTGGAACAAGGAAAATGAACAATGTTTAGTCAAGATTTGCATGAGAACAGTAAATATTACTATTTATCACACAAGGTGTGCCTGTATAATGAAGAAGAAAAATGCTGTCTTCTTAAGAAATAAGATCTACTGTGAGTTGGAGGGAAAATTGGAGTTGAAGGTTTATATAAACATCCTTCCCTCACAAAAATTGAGAAATATGTTGTGGATTTTATAATTGTATGCACACGTATATAAATGAGATATTTTTGATAAATAATTGTGAATATAACCCTGACTGCCAAGAGTGTAGGAATCATCTATCAATCAGAGAAACCTTATTTCCTTGTTGATTTATTTTGCGAATATATTAGGTGCATTTACAACAAGAATCAACATTTTCCACATAGCATTAACCCACTGTGTACCGTGCAGTAGTGTACCTGTGTTCTTTTTTGCTCAGGTCCAGGCTGTGCTCCTGCGTGGAGTCTTGGGAAGCCCCAGAATTGGCGTCCACTGGCTCCTGCTTCACTTGAACCAGATTGAACTGGCTGACTGAAGCCGGCTGCCCATTCCCTGAGGATCAAGCCAGAGACGCAGAGGAGAGAAGAGACAACAAAGTTATTGTTGGTCAGCATTATTATCCTATGACGAGATCCAATCTGACTTCTGTCCTGGCCCGAAAAGAATACTCCGAGTGATAATTATTGCGGAATTATGTCAGGCCGTCAAGCCTTTTAAATGGTGATTGAGAGGCGGGAGATATGAGGGAAAAAGACTCCTTTTTCTGCAGCACTTGTCACAACTCATTTGCCAGGCTGCCTCTTAACTGGTCATTAAGTGAGATGCTAATGCTGAGGGAAAGTGGCAGTCTCAGATTGGCCACCCCCCTCCCTTCCCACCTTCCCAGGCTCTTCGTTGGCCTGACAACGGACGGCAGCCAATGCCACTGAGCATACCCACAAGGAACAGGGGTGCTATGTCGGTCAGATTGGAGCTGACAGCCAATCAGATTGGTTCAAATAGCGTGACCTCTCGATCACATTCTCCTCCAAATAGGTATTCAGTGGATGCTGTGAGCGAGGACAGGAGCGCTGGAATGAAATAAATAAAGACCAGGGGAATGACGTGGGGTAAAAATGCTGACAGGAAGGTGAATTCTGCCCCACCCCCTGATCCCCCAAGGGACTGAAATATTAATTTGTCCTGGGGCTACACAGAGAAAGCTGGGCTTGTGGTAGACAATAAGTGCTGTTTTATTTTTAAAAGGATAAGTGAGTGGGAGGGGTGACCCTGGTGTAGCATCTCAAACACTGTAAAACCGGAGAGCACCAGGGGCTGTGATTGGTTTGGTGAAGAATATGTTGTTTAGGAATATGGACTGGTCCTGAGGGATAGTGACAGGCAAGGTCATGGGCAACCAAGTCTATGCCCTTGGTTGCCCATGCCTGGTGAGGCCCCTCTCCTTTTTTCTTGCAGGGGCGAAAAACAAGACCAGCCTACGTAAGGGGGAAAACGACCAGAGTTCCCCCCTGCTACAAGATGACCCAGAGACATATCAGGCAGAATAGGAGTGGAAAAGCCAGTCTTGGGCCTTGTCAGCTGAAAGCTAGGAGATGGGGAAGTGTCAGTGTCAGTTTGACAATGGCTGAGGTTGGAGGGGCTGGCGGTGGGGTCGGGGTGGGGCTAAAGGAAAACAGCAGTCAAACAATTTTGCGTCTGGTTTGAGGTCACTGAATGCTAACCAAGTCTACGTTCAGTGCTCCTCCCATCCCCCCGCAACTTGATAAGAGTACACCCAAAATTAACTAGCCAGACAGATCCTGCCTTGTCATTGACAATTAAATCAACACTCAGACCAAATGAGAGCACATTATATCAAGAGTAGCCACATACTATATGATCTACATACAGTATGATCATCGGGCAGATTAAAGCATTCCTTCACTATATCAAGAGGATAAATTGGCTATTTAAGGTGGATTATAGTGCATAAGTCTCTTATTCTGTTGCACATCACATTATTTTTTTTATCCACTTCCCAAAGAGGGAGAACAAATGAGTTTGACTCAAAGCAGCTTCTTTCTGGAAATTATCCAGGAATAATGTATCACCATGTAATTACTCCGGATAAGATACAGAGCTTGTGAAAGATCATTTGTACTGTGTGTCTAATTAGTAAACCCTTCAGATGCTTGAATCTCTGGGAAAAACACTTACGGGTAAATTAGAGCGGAACATTAATATTAAAAAAAATACTGAAAGCAGAAACAGGAAAAATGCACAATTCACCACAACACAGATGAAGTTTCACAACCCCATGAAAAAATAAACACTGTGAAAAATAGCCACAAACACTGTGACTTTTCTCACACCTTTTTGACAGAGAAGCACAAACCACTTCCTCCTCATTTTAGCCCCAAATGTCCTGTTCACACATTTTATGAAGCAAATATGAGAAACAAAACTGCAGCTCCATCCTGTATGCACACTGAACTTTTACAAAAGTATGTGATTGAGATACGCAAGCTTATTTCAAACTAGCTTTGTTATCTGACAGAGAGATCTGAGATGCAGCCTCTCAGTAAAACAACGAGAGGGGTGGTGCAGGCACCATCTGTGGAGGCCCCACCCTCAGTGGGGGCCTTCCCCATGTTCAGACTACCTGCTGGAAACCCAGAGGTGGAGCTCAGCCTGACAGCCTGGGCTCAGCTCAGCTCCCCGGAGCAGCTGCCCCAGCTCTCTCCCAGGGCCTGTCCTGCTCCAGGAACACCACCAGGAATTGTAATCCTTCCCAGTCCCAACATCCGGAGATGCTCCCCCTTGCACCCCCATTTACAATCCGCTCCCCACCTGCTCAGGCTCAGCACAGGAGGCCCAACTGCTACTGAATGCAAGGCTGTGCTCTGCAGTGCATTATCAATTTAATGCTTTAACTTCATTTTCATTTTCAGAAGCTTTGTTTAGAGCAATATGATAAACATAGACAAGGCAATTACCTCCAAAATTTATGTGAATTGTGTTTATGCTAAATAGATATTGACATGTTTTTGTGGGAACAGAAGATTTCTAGAAATTCAAAAAGTGTGTCTTTGCTGATGCATGCAAGTGTGTCTGAGTTCTTGTATCAGTGAAAAAAAGCCTCTTTCTCAGCTCTGGTGCATTGAGTCATTTCTGCCTGAGCGATTTCTGTTTTTTTTTATTATCAGTTTTGCATAGAGGATACGGAAAAAGAAAAAAAAACAACATTTTTTTGTTCTCGCAATTTCTGAACTTAATTTCATTCCACCTCCATTTGCTTGGAACGGGCGCAGACATAGATAAGAGACCAATGATGAGGAAACATGTTCGACACAAGCCCCAGGAGCCCCCACTCTGAACATCATAAGAGACTTTTACAGGCTCTACTCTCCCCTGTCAGCGCATTTATCTCCAAATGGATTGTGGGTATCTAACAAACGATCAACACAATAACAAGCCAAGAGCAGAGGACCATGCCTCCGGTATGTCCCTTTAAGCCCAAAAGCGGCAGTTTTTCTGCCTCTCTCTCCCCCGTGGGATATTGATAGAAGTGACCTCTGAGTGCACTCTCTCTTCTCTAGTCCACACACAGAAAAAGGATGTGGCTTTTAGTATACATACAATATATCGTTTATGGACAATGACATAGCTCAAAAGCTTTGGTTTGATATATATTTTTTCGTGTATGTCATATATATATACACAATTGTCTCTAAATAGAGTTATTAAAGATATTTGACTATAAAAATAGTTTTTTATACTAAGCACAAATGAACTATTTTCCATTGTGTAAGTATCCAAAAAGAATAAGTACATAGTATGACTATTTGTGAAGTGACTGACCTATGTCTGGGTTGTTGGAGGGCTTCAGGGCCGCAGCTGCCAGTCTGGCCATCATGGGTGATATTAGACCTTTGCTTGCCGAGATCTTCTCCATGATGGAGGAGGTGGCGAAGGAGGTTGGGGTAGATGCCATGGCTCCATCTGCCCCCACTGTGGAGCATCCTTGGGTCAGTGAGTCGGTGGGCATGGAGTGGGCCCCAGAGGATACGGCTGATATCAGGCTTGCGGCCGGTGGAGGTGGTTGGAGAGGCAGCCTGGGCATGAGGGGGAAGAACGGGTTGGAGGTTGCCAGGGCACTGTTGGAAAGAGCAAGGGCCACTGGCATGTTGCTGGGCAGGGCCTGGGACAGCAGGCTGGACATACGCTGGCCCGCACTGGGCAGCGAGGGGGCAGGTTTGAGGGTGTGGCCTGATGTAGAGGAGGAAGAGACAACAGTGGTGGGTGTGGCCAACAGGTGCGGTACAGTGGTGGACTGCTGGGTCGTAGGCGAGGCACTCAGGCTGGAGTTCTTGCTGCTGATGGTCGAGAAGTCCATCAGGTCATCATTGCTCGATTCCTCTGGCTCATCCTTCGGGGCAAGGAAGGTGGAAGAGAGGCCCATGACACCAGAGGAGCGGATGTGCCGGCGCTCGTGTTTGCGCTTGTGGGAGGTCATCTGGCTGGTGGAGGTAAAAGTGAAGCCGCAGCCTGAGCGGATGCAGTGGAAGTGGTTGGTAGCTTTGCTGTACACGCAGCCCTCGTACTTGCACTCCTCATACTTATAGAACTTCTTGAAGCCATCTTTGGCATAGGCATCATCCTTGATGTGGTAGCTCTTGTGCTTCTCAATGTCACACTTGTTCTTGAAGGTGAATGTGCAGCCTGGGCGCCTAAGAAAAAGAATGGAAAACAAAGGGAAAACATAATTAGCAATGATGCTCTGTTACAAAGCAACCTCAGTACCTCGTGCGGAATGGAGTCGTGGAGTGGGTCCACATGATTCAAATACTTCACAATGGAGGAATGATAACTGAGGCGGTTCAGTAACACAGCAGCAGCTCATTGACACGTTGCCACCTGCAACCTTTGCCAGAGGGATACATTCCAGGGAGGGAGTTTGAATGAAGCAAGTGATTCTCTACATCAATTGATAATAGTTGTAGTGCATGCTTTTCAAAATAAGAGGTTGATGCAAACTTACAAAATGCAATGCCTTTCAATAAAAGGGTTTACTTTTTAATATATACATATTGTTTTTCCTTTTTCCTATCAACTGTGATTCTGTGATGTTCAAAAATACTAATGGTGCAGACCAAGCATAAGTGCAGCAAGCCATTGGTTGTGATTTCACTTTTGATGTTAAGACTGTTTGCTGCATCATTTATTTAGGAATATTTACAAAGGGCCGTGCCTATATTCCCTTTTTTCTGCTGCTGATTTGATGGCTTTTATTTTTAGGTTAATCTGCTGCTATTATAGACCACTGCAGCTTTAATTAATTTTAAAATAAATAAAAAAAATATCCTGCACATTAGGCCTATTCACCTGCAGTGGAAGTGTGTAGTCTTCTGCCCGTAGAATTGACACCCGACTGTGCCACAGTCCTCGGTGGCGCGAAATCTCTGGAAGCCATCGTTGATCAGCTGGGCATTTTTTTTGTGGAAGTTTTCGTGGGTCATGACATCTGAGGTGCTGGTGTACACCTTGCTGCAGCCCACCTGCAAAGCATAGACATAGCATGGCAATCAAAAACAAGATCTAGGCCCACAGCAGATATGAGAGTTTCAGTTTGCAAGTCTGGTTTGAAAAAAGCGAACTTCTAAAACGCAGTGCTTTAAAGAGATGTGATATACTATACAAGCACTACACACAAGAGCTCAGTGTGGTTAAGAAAATGCTAGTGGCCTAGAAATGGGTGGAAGAAGGTTGTTTTCACACGTTCACAATTTAATTTGTGGTAATGCGCACCAGAGCTGTACAAGTTTCAAGTCAAACCCGTGAATTGGAAACAATCTTGTCATTGTGACAATTGGAAAAAAAAAAAAAAGTGACTGAAAGAGGCAGTGGCCACAGCAGGCAGCTGAAACTAAAATACCTTCCTGGCAAACCTGCCTTTTAGAAAATGAAATTCATATTTGGAGGGTGACGATGCAGTCACCACAAACTTACTGTACCTCTGAGAATGAATTTCAAAAGCTGGGGGGCAGAGGAAAGCAGACGAGAGTAAGATGACTGTCTTGGTCTTTAGTTTAAAATGTTCTGGTACTCAAGAGTCCTCAGAGCCAACAGAGGGGGAAAAAACAGGTAATGTTTGAATTAAAAGCAGCAATTGTATATCATCCCTGGCACTTTTCCCCCGTACAAACCGGGCAACTTCTCCATATTGAGTCAAACAATGAAAAAAATGCCACACTGTTTTTTTCCCCCCTAAATCAAGAGAGCCGATGCCAACATCTGCAGGTTCTCAGGGACTGTTAAAACAATGGCTGAAATGTCCTAATAACAATTACGCCGTTAGAGGGGTTTAAAAAAGAATATATCTCAAGCCATCCTCCGCTGCACTGCTGCCCTGCCGGCGAGAGCGCTCTCGGCACAATGACACATTGAAAATAAGCAGATGTAAAAAAAATTAAACAAATCCAGAAGGGGGAATAATCTTCAACTGGCTGCTTGGTACTAAAAGATGAAAAATGTGTAGTTTATATAAACACCTAACTGAATTTTATCCATGCCAATTAAGGAGCGAGAGAGCGAAGAGGTGGGAAAGAACAAGCAGCCTCACGTGTATTCAGCCCTTTTCAATTTTCTTTTATTTACTTTAAGACATGTTTTGCCAAACTGCTCTTTAAAGACACTTTGGTGTAAATGAAAAAGGTGTGGAACACTAATTCTAGTTCACAGATGTGGGTAAACTGTGTGACTCTAACATCCTGAAGTTGTACATGCCTTATTATGTGGCATGACTTCTCAGATCTGGCAGCATCTAAATCACAGTGTTCTGCAACTCCTTTTTTACCTGCCTTATCTAGTTTTAAACTGTCCTTAAATTATGTCTTTGCTGCCAAAAAAGTTGTTTTAAGGCTCTTAATGGACACAGAACTCAGCTTTATTCTCTACATGCAGTGTATGATCTGGTGTACTGACAACCACATTTGTTGTGTGGCTCATGAATGTAAATTGAATGCTGAATTATGTATTTATATGCAACATTATATTTCACATTTTTTTAACAGCATAAATGAATTGTGGGGTATTTGTACTGTATATAAGCACGTGTGGACATATTTGCAGATATTTTCCGTGTGAGTGTGTTTGCATGCCTACTGTACGTTTGGGGTGGGTTTTTTGTGGGTACGTGTGTAGGTGGAGGATGAGATGTGAGTCTCTGTTGTGTACCTGCATGCAGTGGTAATGGGTGCTTTTTCCATTGAGGTGGCAGCCATGGTAGTAGACACTGCAGTCGTCCAGAGGGCTGAAGCGCATGAAGCCATGCTGCAGGGAGTTGTCCCTCTTCTTGTGCATGTTGTAGTGCCTGATTACATCCTGCTTACTGGTAAACCTCTGCAAAAGGGGAGGGGGAAAAATGTACAGCAACAGGTTGGTGTTTATTTAAACCAGTCACAGAATCAGCAACAAGTCACTTTATCTCTGTGGAAGCAGCAGCTGCAACATACAGGAGCCAATTGGCAGTGGGGGAGGGCTGTACGCACTGCAATGGAGAGGGCCAGGATGTCTTTAAAGATGACGGGTTCTGTGGTTATTGATTTACTTTGCATATCTCAAAGTTGTGTCCAATCCAAATGCACCACCAAAGGCTCTGGGACTTTCTAAGCACAGGAGAAGCTTCCACATGGAACATGAAGTATGTTCCCCATACACCCACTGTCTCTACATTATGTTTTCCCTTCCACCAAAATGTATTTTTTTAATTAAGATGAATCAATTGACATGCAAGATCACAGTTCTGATGTTTCTGGCTCTGGAAAAATTATGTTCCGTGCAGATGGTTTCTCAGACGTGCACAGGGGAAAACAGAAGACAAGAGAAACAAACAAACAAACAAGCCAACCAAAAAACGTTTTCCCTTTCAATTCACTGAGATATGATTCCATTTTTAATTAAAGCATTAACACTAGCTTTTGGTGAAGCCTTCGCCTGTAATGATGAGTGAATATGCTAAGAGACCTGCCTTCTAAAATTACAAAATGATAAATAAATAAATAAAAATAAAAATCCCTCCCACACCCAGGAGTCAGGAAGGGAAAACAGAAAAGTCACTCCACAGAGACTTGCAGCAACCAAATCTGCTGTAATTGGGCTTAAGCTGATGTTACAGAAACTGTAACGGGAGAAGCGCAAATCAATGAGACAGTTCTTTCTTCAATCCATATTTATCTGCAGTTGAGGGAAAAACATCAGAAAGAAGTATTCTAAAAAGCAACTAATTGCTGTACAAAGTAGGGTAATTGCTTTGTGTCATGTGTTCCACTCGCGCACAAGTAAAAAGCTAAGATCTCACACAGCTGTTCATTCCTTTGCTCTTGGCCTGTTTCCCAACGCATATTTCTGAAATGTTTGACTCCTGCAGGAGCAAACACTTCATTAGGATTTTTAATCTAATTGATGAATGCTTTGGATTCATCACTTTTTGAATAATTTTCCTGAAAAGACCAGAGCTCAGTTCTGGGCTTTGGACTTTCTGGTATCTAGTGGTTAATGATGACCGGAAGATAAGTTGAACTGCGGTCATGGTACATTCGATCCATCAAGCCGTCCAAAATAGGCCATGGAGAGAGCTGACTGGGAAAAAGATCTCATTTTCAGTTGAGTGGTGGAGAAGGTTGGGAGCCACTTGCTACATTTATTTTAGGATTCCCACTAGTGTGGCAAGATGCACACTCTCCCTCATGTACAAGCCCATGAAAGGAGAATGTTAAGACTCAGCCAATCGCCCGGAGGCTGGCAGTGGGATAATATTCCAGGAGAGTGTGTCATGTAACATTTCATGAGTTATCGCTTCGAAAGGGGCTGCTCATCACTGCCTGCTTGTTTTTTTCAGGGTATTGACATCCCAGAGAGCTGGCTTCCAAAGCATATCTGTGTTTCCACGCAACGCAAGAGCAACAGAGAAATGTGGACCTGACCGTGGAAATTGCCATGATAACCTGAACTAACACTCTAAATAATGACACGAAATGATTTTCCTTTGTATTCCTCCAAGAATGTGTCCCATCAGACTGCAAAGTGGGACTCATGCAGAAAATGAAAGCTTGGATCTGTAATGCTTTTCACCACATAAACAATATTTATCGAGCGGTAATCTCTCTTGATCAGGAGCAGACAAAGGAGATTACAGCTGAAGATGGCTTAATTCAGAAAATTGTTAGGAAAGGAAGGAAAATACACACAACCGTAGCGGTGCATGGATTTTTGACATCTTTGACAAATCTTCCTGTGTTTGTATAACTCTCTCAGGCCATATGCTACAGCAAACACAAGGCCTGTATTATGATCTGCTCTGTGTTTTTTCTCCTTCCTGTGCCATACATGACAACTCCTGGGACCAGGACAAGATTAATAATGTGAAAGGGGATTAAAGGCAGGCCCCGAGTCAGTGGCAGATGTCTTCAAAAAAAGAACACATAGATTAAAAAAAGAGCTATATTTCAAGCATATTTACAATTAACCCCTTGTGATAAAAGGCCAACTGTCAAAGACTAACTGTGCCTGGAAGAAGCCTGCATACTGAACGGATATAGACACCCATAGTGGCCAAAGGCCAACAAACTTTTCATCCAAGTAGACTTTGGCTGGGTGTGACCACAAATGAAAAGATGACACATTATACTGTTTGTCTATCCTATGATCACCACACCTTCATCGTGTCCTGAAGAAAAAGAGGATGCTTAGCTTTAAGTCACCTAACCAAACCTTGTTTTGAATAAAAAAAAAAAACCTAAGCGTTGACTAGTAACCAGGAAGGGTGGCACTTTAAACAAAATTACCTTTGTCTTATTTTTCTTATTTCTGAACTCAAATTGACCTCAAAGTTTGTAGCATACAGGAGAAAGAGGTTAAATGTGTATTTGGGTAATGCTCAAAAAAGTGATAAAATACTCACGCTCACCTGGTAGTTACACTCAGGGTCCATGCAGTGGTAATGCTCTCTGTACTGGTATGCACAGTGCACATGTCCACAGTGTTGACTTCCAGAGAACCTGAAAACCAAGTTGCGGGACACATTTCAACAGTTATACATTTTAACCGTAACACAGAGCAGTGAATTTAAATGACATCAAGACTGGTTCAACACCCGGGAACACATCGGAGCTTATCTCACAGAGACCAGTCACAGGGATGAAAAAGCTGAATGATAAAGCAGCTCTGAAAGATGTCAGTGTGATTTTAAAATAATCAAAAGCAAATCAAGAACTATTAGTGAAAAAATTATTAGAAATACCAGGAACAGCACAAAATTAAAAAAAGTTAAAGGAGTTTTCAAATATATTATGCTCTTCTCACCTTCAAAGTAACACAGCTCACACCTTCAAACTGACTTCTGCTTTCCACACTGCTGCAACAATTTACCCGTCTGTCACACCAATTTCAGCCAAATTAGCTCCATTTATTTCCAAAGCAGCCGTAAGAGACACTTATTACACTGAAACCCTTTCCCTTGACACGCATACACACACCCACTTAAGGATCGGGAACCCCATGACTACTTTATTTCTCAACGCTGTGAAAACCCTTGTCAAATCAATGCACAGTTCTTTCAGGTTAACCACAGTTTTACCCTGTGAGAAAAAGGGTCAGGTATCCTGAGATGTAGGAACAGCTCTGTCTACGTTTTACGCCAAACCCTTTCACTCTTTCATCTGGAGTCCAAAAAAGCAGATTTTAGTATAGCATTAGTTAAAAAAAAAGGCTGCCGCTTGCTACAGTACAGCCACTTTTACGGTGGTGATTATAAGCCTGACGATGATGACTGTTAAAATCCTCCAATTACCAGTGAAAACACACAAATAAACATTTGCACTGCTGCTGCCAAGAGCTCCATCTGCTAGTGCAGAGGAGAGGGGGAAAAGGGGGCTAAGTAATATTTTTTCCATCTCTCTTTCAGTTTTTTCCTTGTTAGGATTATCCCAGAGCTGCATTTACAGATCACTTTGCTGAGTTCATTAAGCTAATTGAACGGCATATCCACTACTCTTTTTAAGTTGGCTGTGTGAGTGTATGTGTGTGTCTGTGTAGTGATAGAGGTAGAGGGGGCTCTGGGAAGGTTTGTTGGCTCTTTTAGAGAAGACAAAAGCAGAAGTCGAACTACGTGTGTGCCCACAATAAAGCCAACATATGTCCTAACCATTAGTGTTTTCTATACTCCTCTCTCACATACATACATATGCACACACATTTACACTTATGAACACACAAAGCCCCCCCATCCCCTTGAGATTACGGCCCACCCCTCTGCTCATTGCCCAGCTGTATCACTTTGCCTCTGGACAATTCCCACTTGCCGCGTCAGGGGGCCTAATGGGCCGCTGCTATTCAGCAGCAGATTAAATATTAATATCGCCACGATACAGAGATTGCAGCGCATCTCCAGTTACAATAGAGATACACAGATCAAAGTGCCGAGGCAATAGTGGGTGCATGAAAGCATTTAAAGAGTGAAAACTGCAACTAAACAGTACGAGGGAAGCTCTTTAAAACATCAAACTATAGTGTGGTGAGGAGATGAAGAACTTTTTTTTCTCTTTTCACAGGGATTGAGTACGAACATGTTTACAAAGCTGGTTTTTAGTATTAGTGTGCACTCATTAGCCTTAGCTCCAAAGAGGACCCTCCCCCGCTTCTACCTCCCCTCTCGGTGCTACATTTGCCCTTTTTATGAGCCCTCCTTTTCCATTTTTTTCCTCCCTCCTCTTCTATCCTTTCTCTTTTTTTCTCAACCCCAACACGGAAATTGAAACTGTATCTGGGCTTATCTGCAGCCTCCCCGTGCATCAACTGCCGAGATGTTTAGACAAATTTTATGCATTATGCAGCGCAAATATCAAAACAGTTCTTGGCAGTGCCAGCAGAAGCCTCATTAAAAATTCCTTAATTAAATCTTCTTGCAAAATGTAATCAGTCCAAGGAAGG